CGTGTTATTCGGAAAATTAATCAGCAGTTAATCAAAGCGCAATTTACATAAATCAAAATAAATCTATGCATCTTGTGTAATGTGTCAAATCAGTAATCACTTGGAATATACAAAATATTGCAATGTAGATATAGAACGTCCCTGAGTCTATCATGAAGCCCCAACCCCCAAGAAATTTGAACTGTTTGGCAAGGAAACATTCTCCTTTTACACAAAATTAATGCAAAAGCAACATAAGAATAATGCTGACACATGGAAGCAAAATAGCACGATCTTTTGAAAAACATGACAATCTAAATTACTTTTGCAATTCACGGAACATTATATATTATTACGTAGAAGGTTTACTCGTTTGATGATAAATAAAGTATTGAATCAATAACCATTGTCACCAACGTTTAGACATACCACATGTATTGCATAACTTCTGTCGTTTTGATTAAAGTATGCTATAAACGTTACTTCTGTCTCTGTGTCTGTCTCTCTGCATTTAATCTAAAGACAGCAGATGGAACATGCTAACAATGCTGTATTTAAAATACTCAATGATGCCCACATAGCAAAAAGTAATGAATCCCTACCTAGCATGTTTGAAACAGATCTGGCATTCCCATCTGAAAAAGATAAAAAATATTATTGATCTTTTTTAACTTTGATTACATCTTTAAAACTTCATTTTCTCACTATGCGTTATCTGTAATCTTTTTCTTTCCTCTTTGTATCTTTACTCTTGCGTTTCTGATTATGTCATCAAAAATGTAAGAACCTCCAATACCTGTCTCTGTTGTGCAGCAGTTTTCTTTAGTTACTTCTACGTCTTCCGCCTACAATCTTTTTCTGCTTTGATCTCAAAAATTATGATTAATATCAAGCCAAGTAAGATCTTTATCATGGTTTTCAGTGGGTGTAAACCTGAAGCGGTGGGAAGAGGTGCTATATTTAACCTTGTGAGTAAAATCTAATCAAGCCCTTTCTGAAATGGATGTTATCTCGTTTACTTATTTGACGTCAAGTTGTGACTTTGGATGTCCTTTTATACCTCTTCAGAAATTTCCACTTTTTACTCGCTTGGTTTTCATTCCATGCAAACGACGATTTTTTGCTTCAGAACATCTACTTGGCGGATAATTCAATTTCATTCTATTTTCATTGATTAATCTTTTCTTTCATATTTTGTACTTCTCTTATGGTCAGTTGAGTTCCACCCAGCGTCCAGTTAGTATATTCTTCATAATTGCAGTGGTTACTTGACTCTACAAATAATCAAATAATGTGAGAAAAAGCATATGTAATGCGTATGTTCCATAAGGCCCTGCATTTAATTCATGCATAACATATTTCAAAGGAGATGGAATTCTAATAAAAACATTATGATTTCAAGAAACATTTGTATAAGGCCGATCATTTACGTTCTATATTAGCTTATATTAGTCTAATAAAACACTCCATACGAACGAAAATCTAAACTAAGTTATGTTTTTGTGGATATCTACTTAAGTTCTCACCAAAGAATATGTGACTTGGCTAGAACTTCAGAGGTGTTCCCTTCCAAAAACCATTTTTATTGCCCGAAAGTTTAGTTATTATTGAGGTTTTTCTGATAGTTAATAATCCTTGGGGTTTCCGGTTCCGTGCTTACAATCCTCCAGGAATTTCAACTTTTGGTCGGCTTTCCTTTCCCTACGACCCCATTTTGATTCGAATTATTTGCGACTCTTAGTAGGAATCATTTTTATAAACACCCTCGGTAACTTTATATTTTATTGTTTCAACTATCAATTTGGCATAGATGATTCAAAGGTTTTAAACCTATTATGTTTTATTTTTTATGGTTGGTAAGTGCATCTCTCTCATATATCTTGCGATGGCACCCATCGCTTTCAGCGTTTAGTGTTTGCTTTATTATGTTATTCCACACATTGAAGTGTTGATTTGTACTCAATTTGTGGTAGTTGGTTCTGGCTGGCTTCACTAGTTGTCTTATTGGTTAGGTTTGTAGGTGTCTCTCAGGCTTCGATGTTTATTTTTCGTTTCCTGCTATTTCAACTTACAGGTTTGTATGTACTTCTATCTCTTCTACTGCTTTTGCTGTAATTGATAAGAGTCTTCGTCTCTGTAAGTTATTTCTTCATTTATAACTTCACCCGCCCGCCTCATGTTAGGTTAGCCTTTCATTTTGTGTGAGCGGAGTGTCTGGTTCCCTTGTTTCCTTCTCACTTACACTAATGTTCATTGTTTCATATGTTTTACTTTTCTGTAGTATTTTGTCTGTTATTAATGCACCATCAGTTGTTGTCTTGTTCGTTTCTCCTATATCACTCTAACGAATATTTAGATAGTGTTTCTCTCACATCTCACGTGTTCGTTGTTTCTAGGTTACTTTATCTGTTGCTACTACGTTTAGAAAATGATTAGTATAGTCTTATGCACTTCCTCTGCTAACCCGTCAGGTTTCTCAAATGTTTCTTCCAGTGGTATTTCCAATGTATTCTTAATATATGAATTTGAACCGTTTTTTGTATAAGTTCTTGTAATGGGTCTAATCAGTAACTACTCCCGTTTTCCTTTTTAAATAGATTGCCTCCGTTTCTAGCAGCGTCTCTTCTCCTTTTGGGTGGATGAGGTATACTTCCTGTTTTGCAATGCTCTTACCAGCAATCTTTTCACATAATGCTCATTTTTTCTAAATCGATTCAAAACCTCACTCATCGTTGGTCTTTTCTTTTCGTCTGGTATTTTTTTAAAATCTACGGCCATTACTATCTTCTTTCTTTCCGCAACAAAGTATTTATTACCATATAGCTCTTACTCTGCATACATCTCAAAATAATTTTTGAGTTTTCTCCTTGACAAAGCCATTTCACACTGAATATTTAGTAAACATGAATCACAGAACTGATATATTTGAGCGTATTGCAATGTGTACAAAAGTCTTACTTCAACGTGTGCAATTTTAGAGTTTTAAGTTATATAATATATTCCAGTCAAATAATAGACTTCTAACCAGCGTCTGAGCTTAATATTGCTTTGTTCGTACCATTTCGAAGACTTTCTTTCTCAAGAACGGTTAACAAATTTAAATATTTATGTCTTGGGAAGATTTTGTAATTGACGATTGCCAAGTGTGGATAAGCTGGTCATTTAGCAGTGCTTAGACACTGACAAAACACCTTTATTTTCCAAACAGATTGATTTATCCATTAGTCTTCGAAACCAACTATTTCAACAATACCAGACTAACAATGCGTAATTGGTCCTTCCAGGACGGCGTTCCATGGCAGTAAGCATTGACATATATTTAAATATATGTATTTTCTATTATCAGACGAACATAATACATTATTACAGAATGCGGTCAATAAATCATGATCTTCAAGAGTATTCTCCCCTGTTCACATTATAAAAAGTTTGTAAGATGGGATGGGAGAAGGGCTTAAAGAAAATTCTTCCTAAAATTATAACTTAAAGTGGCTTCTTCTTAAAATTTTAACTTAAAGAAGACTATCTAAAATTTTAATTTAAAGTAGACTCTATCTAAAATTTTAATTTAAAGTAGACTCTTCCTAAAATTTAAGTACAACCGTTCAACAGTATTTTTTAATGAATGTCCATACTACTGTTATATAATTAACTACTGGTGACATTAGTTATACCAATATCACATTGCATCTTTGGGGCACATTTCCAAACCTTTGTAATTAGTTTCTTTACAAATAATGCGTTTGAAGCTTGTGTGATTACAGTTTGTAGACCATCTGTGAAAGATCCCCATGTTGTCATTTCATTTTGTAGACCATCTGTGAAAGAGCCCTATGTTCTCGTTACAATTTCTTGACGAAGCGTGAAAGAACCCCATGTCGTAAAAACAATCCCAAGAGAAATATAACTTATTAACAAGCACTCTGACTGTAAACTTTTGGTTTGAAAATAAATCTTATTATTTCTGAAAAGTAAAGAAAAAATGCAATGTTTATATTGAATGTATCCTATACCTTTCTATCTATTTTAAAATATGTCTTGATTCTCCACTTATTAGCATTAAACGGAAACGGTAGTTATTAGTGCTAGTATATGAAAGCTATTTCCTAGATTACCTAAAAATTATATAAAGTCTTCTCTGCTAGTCTATTGTAGGTTATTTGTTCGGTGTTTTAATTTTGTCTCGCTGACTGTCATATAGTTTTATTCGATGCACCCTAACAACACTTACTGAATTAGGAGTTGAAATAATTTCAGAGACATATTTGCTTTTAGGACGACAGATTGATCGGAAATAGACCCGAAATTATCTCTACCAACCTCCACCCTTCTTGAAAGATGATGCGAAACGTATTTTATTGCATGCACATTTAATCTTACAAGGCTGATCTCGAGTTCGATATAGATGTTCAAATATGTTATACTGTATTGCACACCAAACATTTCACTATCACATATCCAGCCTGTAACTACTTTTACAAATTGAAATATTCAGTCCAGTCATAAAATATTGGGGATGACTTTAGGTTTTAAATTATTACAAAAAATCCATGTTAGCAATTTTAAAAAATGCAGCAGTATTTATCCAAAGTTCTGCAATGCCGCTGGGATAACGGGAGTAGACGGAAAATAGGTTAGGTAGTTATTGTTCGTTTCATGGTATCAAGCTGAGAAAGTTGTGTTAGTAAAGGTGGACAAACTACATTTTGGACAGGATTTTGACAATAAGTGTTCAGTTGATGTTGGCGTGTAAACTCTCTGTGTGTGTGCGTATGTGGGATTTAGATTTTTACGTAGCTTTAGCAATGTTGAAGTCATATCGCAACGATGTCTACATTAGGAGATGGTTAGCACTAGTTTTTAGAGATGTCTAGCACCGGGTCATCATGCCGCTGACATGTGGAATGATGTCAAGCCCAGTCAGATTATCCTGACACAAGGCCAACCTGTACTAACACTAACCTTTTAATGCTGAGCCCCAAGCGAGGCAGCTATTAGTACAAATTTGTAATGTCTTTGGTATGACTCAGCCTGGGTTCGAACCAAGGACCTCTCGCATCTGATGCGTACGCTCTAACCACTAGGCCATCAGACAGTTGGCGTGTAAAGTGTCACCAAGAGAGAGAGAGAGAGAGAGAGAGAGAGAGAGAGAGAGAGAGAGAGAGAGAGAGAGAGAGAGAGAGAGAGAGAGAGAGAGAGAGAGAGAGAGAGAGAGAGAGAGAGCAATGAGTTTGTCGATGAAATCCTGTATTGAAATTTGCGAATTTCCAGGGAGTAATGTCGTGATTAAAAGGCATGGTTTGATATGTCCGACTTGTGGGGACACCTTTCTCCCATAATTGTTAATTCCAAAGAGATATTCCACAATGGAAATTGCCTAAAAAACCCAACGTAGTTAAAGTCAGTGTGAGAGTTTAAAAAAAATTATATTATTTTAAAGAGTAGGTTTAATGGGGGATGTACACTTTGTTTATTAAAATGGCCATGGAATCGAATTTGTTTAATAAATCTGAGGAAAAAAACTGACAAATATTTTCAACATAAAGGTAAACCCATCACAAGGAGCAGTAGGTTTTTGAATGCGAGGCAGATTCAGAAGAAATTTATTTTGTTACAAAATTGCGTTGACTTTTTCAAATCCTAAGAACAGTTTCCATCTATAGAATACAAATAACAAAAAAATATTAAAATATTAGTATGGTGTTAAAATATATCCAAATAAATGCTAAACATTCATCCAACACCTTAGAATGAGTCAATGTTTCGCTTTGTAAAAATATATGCCTAAATTATCACTTTACGTTTAATGCATTAGCAATAGCTTCTTTGAAACAAAAACAAAAATGGGAGTTTGAATGAATCCATTTAAATACCTCATCAGCATTTATAAAAATTAAATGCTAAAGAATAAATCCATATCTACAACGCACACAGGGAGATGTCGCAAATGTTCACAATATATCTAGGCTAAGCCCCGGTTACGTACTGATGGATTGTTACGAAACGTTAAATACCTAATTCATTTCTTTAAAGAATACATTGCAAAATTTAAAAAAATGTTTAAATTAAAAGGAGATATGCCATAAATAAAAAGTCACGAAAATGTTCGTTTAAAGTCGGTTGAAAGAATTATTCTGATATAGCGCAGGAATATAGTCTCTGATGGATGGCCTCTATGGTCCTACACCGTAACGAACTCGTTCATTTCCATCCACTTTTTGAACGAAAAAGATTTGTCTATATAACGATGCATGCACCGAACCTCTATGCCTAATAAAAATGTTATTTCATCAAAAAAGATTCATATTTTTATCGTCCTAGTAATTAGACGTCTCACAGTAAGTAATAAAATAAGTCTATTTTTCAGATGTTATATCAAATATAATGCACTGCCGAACATTTCCAAGTTGTGTGACAGACTGACACATTAATTAGCCAGTCATCTTGTACCGATGAAAAAATATTCAGATAAACAAATTTGGTATCATGACTTTTTTGTGATGTCTGATTACCTGTAATCTACTACCACCTTGTACCTTATCTCTGAAAATGTTAATATCAAACGCAGACACAATCCTTTCTGGTCTTATTTTGTGTCTTTAGTAGCATATGTTGTAAGTAGAAAGTGAGGTTTATACACGCTGGTAGTTTAAGTTTCCTAAAGAACCAAATTACACAGCTTTGATGCTTGAAGAACACCTTAAAAGATATTGATTGTTTAGTACACCAATGACGAATAGCTAGATCAAATTTTTAGGCATATATTTAGTATAGCTTGCAATATATAGCCTTCTACCATTTTTCTAAGTGCCTGATATTTTCTATTTAAAGGGGTTAAGATGAACACAGAAATGTTCCTCATCAGTGCTTTATTCAAGGGAAAAGATCAACTGAACAAGAATCAGAGGAGAGCAGATTCACTCCTACATTCTTTATGTAACGTACCTCCACCGTGTGACTTGCAAATACAAAACCTGAACAAAAATCCTAAGCTCAGAACTTTAGATATGATGACTAAAATAATACCACAATAAAATAACATATCCATCTACAACAGCATTATCAACAAAAAACATATATGGGGTTAAAACAATGTGCATGCAATTAACACATATATCCATGTATCTTTAAGTTCAAAGTCTAATTACCTTGTTCTTTATATAAATATAGGTGCATTCAAAAGAAACACAGGATGAAAATTGGTCTTTGTAATTTCAGAAGCTGCTGCTTCCTTCATACTCCGAGAATAATCTATACTTGCAAAGACATATCATACAAAAAAGGAAGACAAAACAAATCACAATAAAAGCATATTTGCTATTGGCATCTACTGCAAATTTTCGAGAAGACGGACTTAGGAACCCGTCCCAAAATTGACCAGTTATAATATATATTATTATAATAATATTCATATGCATATTTATATTTTTAGATGGATGCATTGTATTGTCCAAAGTATATGATAACCATCAAACAGACATTGCTCGTTACTCAGTTGTAAAGAAAATGTTTTCAATACGTTGTATTAAGTGCTGGCGGCCAAATAATAATATCGATGTACTCAGTAGTCATACACCGAGTGACTTAACAGCGTGTTAAGTAGAGCTAGGAGCAGAGTAAGATTTAGGACAAACGAGGCATGTGCTAGTTGAGTTACGAGGCCCCTTACTTGGGGATAAGAACATGCGGCCCCTATCCCGGCCAACAATGGCTCTGTGCTTAAGCAAACCTAACCAGAATTGTAATCCGGTATCTTATAGGAGTCCTCAATTACCCAAGAATATAGATGCGAAATACCAATAAACTGAAGAAAAGGGCAAATGGCACCAGTGGTGACGACCCAAAGGGGTTTGAGTCCCCAAGACATCTCTCGCCCGTGTTGTTGATACGCAAAAATCTACGGCGCCAGGGGTAGCCCCCTTCCCCTAATTTAACGTGAGTTGCATTTAGTCAAAGTACATTTAAATTGATGAAGAGAGCGGCATACATTCCAAATACTAGTACGTTTTCTACTCATGCAATGGGCCGCATTCAGGCAAAACACTAAAACACTGATGTTGTGGGCATCATTCAGTCCAAATACTAGTAAATCTATACTAATAACCAGCCGTCATTGAGTCAAATTACTAGCATGTCAATGACAAGCATAGCAATAAGCCAAGTACTAGAAAAATGATGAAAAGCGAGACATTTATGTCACAGTACAAGTACACTGATGACAAGGGCAGCTTTAGAACCACTAGTATACAGTTGACAAGGACAGTATTCAGTAATAATACCAGAATGCTGATATAAAAGACAGCATCAAGTCAAGATTCTATAATACTTATGATAAGGGCACCATTCAACGCGCTAGTACACAGATGAAAAGGGCGACAGCCAGACACAAGTATACAATACACATGAAAATGACGACATTGAGTCAAAATACTACTATATGATGAAAGGGACAGCATTCAATCACATGATGAAGCTAATTATATGTTGCTTCTTTAAGTGTAGTTCAGATATAACTTCAAAGACATATACTTGCATACCCTTATAACAGAGACATGGGTTACAGTATCCAGAGATTGATTTGGCATCGGGTTCATAATGCAGGGGTCGCTGGTTCATTATCCGTGCAGTAGAACACAGACCACCTCAGTGTTTCTTTGGGAAAGTCACTTAGCTCTTGATTCCTCACCATTATATAGACATTAATGTATTTAAATTGCGGTTAAAACAATCATCACTACATGCATGACCTATATGAAAGCAAATTATATTTAGTGCAGATCACATGACGAGATAGCAACAGATGTATGAACTTCAAGTTGCCCATGTGACTAGGCTAAGAAAGAGACTGACTATATATCTAAATTATATAAATGTCATGCTAAATTGGAGTTCCTCACATGTATAGAAATACTGTCCAAGGCTCACCAGGAAAAGTAATATGATATACAGTTGGCTGCTTGCAGATGATTGCACTAATAGTGGGGAAGAGACTTTTTCAGAGTTTAAGCACAGCAATAACGTCAATTCAGAAAGGTGGATTTCCCTCAGTACCTGATCCCAATGACAACAAAAGTGTCTTAACGAAGATCAACCAGAAAGCCATAGAAAGCAAAAAGTTAATCTTAAAGTTTTGTGGTTAGACCCCGCCAATGCATATGGTAGCATTCAACACTAGTTGGATATCCTCACTCTAAATAAATATCTTAATCCATGCAAGTCCAGAGACATGATTAAACTCTGCCTCGATTAACTTTATTGCTACAAAGCAGCATGGCTGTGATTATAAAATGTCATCATAACTGGATGTACCGTGTAAGTGATACTATACTAGTTTCAACTTCAACGAATCTTCTACTGAAGTCATGACCAAATATGTCACCTGGAAATCGGCAGCCTCCTACAAGCGCCTTCATGGATGATATGACTATTATATCCAGGTCTGTAACCAGAAGCTAGATGGATATTAGAAGAACTTGGATATCTGATTAACTAGGTCAGGATGACATTCAAGTTATTTATGTCACGTAGTCTCGCCTGAAGAAACGAAATTGCAAATTAGATACAAGTTCGGAATAGAATAGGTTATGACAGGACTGAGTGAGCAATCAGTTAAGAGCCTATGCAGGTGCCTTAAGGATCAAGTGAATGACAACGATAGTGTAGCGATATGCCAAAGCCTATATAGAAGCCATACAAATGAGTGGCATAGCTGGAAAGTACAAGGCCTAGCATTATTCCATGTCTACTTTGGCGACCTCTAGAATCCCAAGTCTCAGTGGCGGTTGCAGAAGCAACTGAGAGAATGTTTAGTTCATATATGCGACGATGAATGGAAATGTCACATATTTCAATAGTATTGGCTTTCTGGCACAAGCAACAAGCTTCAATTACCACTATCACCAGTGACAGACGCGTTTAAGGTGACAAAGGCCAGGCAGAGGATCATCTTGAAAGACAGTGTAGGTAAGAAAATGAGAGAAGCAGAAGGGAAGGTATGGACTGGGAGTAGGTGGGTGGCAGTTTAAGATGCAGAATCCTGACTGAGGCCTGGAAACATGGTAGGCAGAGTAACAACAGGAAGTCAGAAAAGACCTG